CATTCTGTGTGGCACACATGGTTAAGTGCTTGACGACTTTACTCACACTAAAATGGAAACTCAGAACCATGCATTTAAAAAATAGAAGAAAAAAATAAACTTACTCCCATTGAGTAGTTTCTGACTCATTATGACACTATATAGGATTTCCAAGGCTGTAAACCTTACAGGGGCGGACAGCCTCATCTTTCTCCAAAGGAGGGACTTGTGGGTTTGAACTACCAACCTTGTGGTTAGCAGTCCAACACCTACTTCACAAAACCACCAGGCACCCATAAGAAGGCTAGGCAAATATATCTTTTCTGTTCTCATAATAGCAATGGAATTTTTGTTGTTACAGTACCTACTTGCAAACAACTAAAATCAACTCTAATTTAAGTAAAACATTATTTTATTGCTAAGATTGCTCACAGGATCTATAGGAAAACTTGAAAATATTCTTATGATATAAAAGAAGAGATAATGTGTAACAAAAATGTAATTAAGGGCCCATGCAGATCCTGCCACTGGTCAGCCACTGGACTTGTAGACTGTTCTAAGGCCATGAAAAACTCAACTCAGCCTAGGTTGTCTCATTCCCTAGAAAGCAAAATCTTTGGGAATGGTTGTGTGGTAGTTACATCATCTGTTGGCAATTTGAGACTTAAGAGTGAAGGGGTGGATTTTAGCCTGTCAATCAGGTCGCAGCTTGATGATCTCATTTGGAGGAGCTAAGGAGATAAATAGCTCACAGGAGGCGGGACACACGCTCACTCCCTGTGAGACATTACTGACGAGCCTGCTGGAACTACCCTGATGCAGCCAGCCCTGGAAGCGGGAGGAGTCAGGGAGGAGACCCATGCTAGCGCAGAAATGCTTCTACCACCACTGCATCCACAACTTTCCATCCACTGACCTGTATTCTTCCTGCATTTGGTGCCATTGCATGTGTTTCATGAGTCTGAAGAGGAATTTACAGATTGGTGTCAGACATATGGGCTAATTTTGGACTCATGGATTTGATCTGGACTGGGCTGGGATGTTTTCACACTATTCAATTGCTTTTGTATTTAAAGCTCTTCCTTATACACATATGAATCTCTCTGGATTTGTTTCTCTGGTCTACCCAAACTAATACAGGTTGGTTGTGGACAAGGGAATTCTGTCTCTCATATGTTAAGTAAACTACCTAGGCTCTGGCTCAGAGAAAGGAAAGAAAAAGAATAACTTGCCACTCTAGCTTCTAACGAGGGAGTTCCAATATCAGAAAAAAATTCCGTCCCACACTGAAAGGGCTTTTGAGTTCTGATTGCAAAAAATAATTCCCATTTCTCGCACAGCCTAGTGACTTGGGTTCAAGAAGGTCCACATATACTCATATTTTCTACTAGACATAAATGTGGGGAATGAACTAAACAATAAATTAGTATGATAACAAATAAAACAAATTGATCATAGTTTTCTATTGATCTCCCGTATAGTGGGGGTTTCCTTCGGATCTGACCCTTTTCCCACTCTTCCCGATTATTTTTCACTAATCCGGACACATAAGTTTCTCTTCCTGCTTCCACCAGGCATTTAGTTTGTAAGCCTTGGAGATACTCTTTGTTTTGTGGACATTTAGTTTCAATTAACATTCAATAAAAATAACGAGTAAAGGGCATAGGTTCTTTGGGTTTTGTTTTGCGTTTTTTATTATAATTTGGATGAACAGTTACAAATAGGTTTTCCCTTCAACAATTTGTGCAGATCTTGTTTCACAAAATGTATTTCTATCTTCCCAGTGGAACAGTACCCCCTCCACTTCCTTCCTGTATTTATCATTTCCCTGTCCTTCATTCCTGTCCCTTCCTGCCTTCTCAGCTTTCCCCCTGAACTGTGGATTTCATCTGGTGGACTGTTCTAAACAAGAAGTGTGTACCTCTCTCTGATGTTTATTGTTCAACTTCTAGGTGTGTGTGTGTGTGTGTGTGTGTAGTTTTATATAGTTTTACTTTTCCCGTCACATACATATTAGGGTCAACTCACATCTTATGCAGAATCTCACTGAGCAAATAGTCAATTTCACTAATCAAGGGAGTTTTGTAGTGTTTTCCTTACATATGTAAGGAAATAAAAAGGCTAAAACCTCTTCTCTGGATAAATGGTGGTCTAGATAAATAATATTAACAATATATAAAACTCACGGAGGGTTTCTATAAAAGTAAAATAATTACGCAAATTTAGATTATGTAAAGATGTACATAATTATGTACAAAAATGTTTTCTGGAAATTGTTATTAATTTTTAATTTCATATTTTCTATAACTTATTTTAAAATTAAAGCTTAGGTGGAGTTTTTGCATTAATCATTTAGAAATTCCCTTAAACACTTCGAAGCAAAGTAACAGATGTAGATGAAAAAGAAAATATGCTTGTTCACATCTAGGACATATAGAGGGTGCTATTCCTAAAAAGGGTACTGTATTTTTTGAAAGATTGGAACAAGTGAAAACTTTCACAAAGTGCTTAGAGCTGCTTATTAATACCCAGACTCTGGAGGCACTCAACTTAAGAAAGACTTCTTGGCTCCACAATGCTCCCGATCAGAAAGTTTAAACAAAAGTCACACTTAAGCAAGTACATTTCTTTAAAGTCCTTATTCTGTTTCGCTCAGATATTGTTGTTTGTGGGCTTTGATTCAATCTCAACTCCCAGGGTCAGAGTAGAACTATACCAGAGTTTCCTAGGCTGTCGTCTTTATAGGTATAGATAATTAATTACCAAACTTATTTGGCCTACTGCCCCCTTTGAAAGAAAAAATTACTCCGAGACACCCAGCAATTAAAAACGTTTGTACTACAGTCCATAATCCAGGACAAGCAGACATCTTTGCTTCTGAACACTTTACACAGAGGTCTTTGGTAGCAGATATGTCCAATCGTTTTTTATTTCTTGACTGCTGCTTCCATGGGTGTTGATTATGAATCCAAATAAAATCAAATGCTTGACCGCTTCAATCTTTTCTGTTTAGTATGATATTATTGCTTTAGTTGTGAGGATTTTGTTTTCCTTAGTTCGAAATGCTGTAGATACCCCTTGTTTCTCAAACACCCCCTGGGGGGAACTTGACCATTTTCAATTATCTCATACACATGTCAAAGCTGGTGAATAAATAAGGAAGGCAACGGAATTGATTCCTAGGACTTATGGTGTTGGCAAGAAATACTGGCTATACTATAGACTGCCAAAAGAACTAACCAATTTTTCTTGGAAGAAGTATAACCTAAATGTTCCTTGGAAGAGAAGATGGTGAGGCTCTGTCTCCCTTAATTTGGTAAATTATCAGGAGGGGCCAATCCCTAGAGAAAGGCAGCATCCTGTTACCAGCAGTTCTCAACCTGTGGGTTACGACCCCTTTGGGGGTCCAACGACCCTTTCACAGGGGTTGCCCGATTCAGAACAGCAGCAAAATTAGAGTTATGAAGTAGCAACGAAAATAATTTTATGGTTGGAGGTCACAACATGAGGAACTGTATTAAAGGGTCAAGGCATTAGGAAGGTTGAGAATCACAGTGCTAAAGGGTCACTGAAAAAGAGGAAGACCCTCAATGAGATGGATTGGCACAGTGCCTACAATAGTGGGCTCCAACATGGCAATAGTGATGAGAACGGTGCGGGGCAGGGCAGAGTTCCAGTCTGAGTCTGAAGCAACTCTAGGGTACCTAACAGCAACACCAATTTTTTAACCATTTTATTGGCATATATTTACAATTCAATAGTTCAATAACAAGAATCTCTTTGGGAACAGATTAGGCATTTCAGGTAGCAGGCTAGTGCTTAAACACTGTACCACCCAGTGTAGAGGTGCTCTTTGTACAGCTATTAATAGGCCCAATTCATGCATCAAATATCATTTCAAACAAAGCCTACTTTTGTAATGCTGGGTGATGGGCAGATATGCATTAAAGTCCCAATGCCTAAGTGATCATTTCTGGCTCACCTCTCAACGCATCTGGCATATTTCTTCCTCTCGGTTTCATCTATAAAATGAGGAAAATAAAAAGTCCTACCTCAATGCCTCTGTAATAATTTATGTCTGTGATGTGCCAAGCACTTTCTTTAATTATCAAACTCCAAATTCACTGTCACCAGTCAAGTTGCTGCCCACTCATAACAATCCTAGAGGACAGAGTAGCATAGTCCCTTTGAGATCCTGAACCTGTAACTCTTTTTGGGAGCAGAAAGCCCGGTCTTGCTCCCTGTAATTTAACAAGCACTCCACAATACTATTAAGATGTGTCCTCCTTGATCAAAGGAGTTTTGTTAATTTCAGCTCAGAAAGGGGTTTTTAAGAATCACCTATGCACCTTCTGAACCTCTAGAGATAATTTTTCATTAATACTTCACGATAGGTTGAGTGTCTTTGGATGTCATCCCTGTCACTCTGGAATCCTTCAAATGAAAAGAAACTTCCATTTCGTCTTAAACACTGTTCGGTCTTGCGGTGCACACAGGGTCACCCTATGTGGAAAGGTTTCAGCCGCGCTTCCAGACTAAGATGAAGGAGGAATCCGCTACCCACTTTGGAGGCATTTCGCCGCTGAAACCTTACGCCAAGGGAGAAGAAGAAAGTAATTCGGTTTCCTGGAGTAGCTGGGACCCCTTGGTGATCTTCCCGAACGGAAACCTTAAGGGAGACCCTAGCCGGCCGGCAGAACCGGACTCCGCCCGCGATGACGAAGGACAGTCCGCCCATGGTCCACACCAGCGCACTAGGTCACAACCTACCAGTCCAGATTCTGGCCTGCCTTGACCTGGAAAGGTGCACGTGCGACATCACACGTGACGTGCAGCCATTTTCCCACCACGTCCGGTTCTAGCCCACTCCGGGGCGGATGCAAAAGACGCGCACGCGCAGCTCTGCTTCCGGGCGCCGCTCCTCACTACCCACCATGCACTGCAGCACCGACCTGTCGTAAAAGCCGTGTTTCGGCGACAAGTGAGCGACTTGTCTTCCGCGCGGTGCGGCGGGGACGGAGGCCCAAGTCTTCCTACTACTCCTGCCGCGGGGCCGGAGGCCTTGACGGTGTCCAGCTGTGCTTAACTCTGGCCGGTGCCACCTGCCTCCGCAATGCCCCCCAAGAAACAGGCTCAGGCCGGGGGCAGCAAAAAAGCGGAGCAGAAGAAGAAAGAAAAGATCATCGAAGTAAGTACACACCTCACCCCCTCCCCACCCCCTCACTTCTCGAGCCCTCGGGGAAGCATCTTCCCCAGCTCCTTCGTTCCTGCTCGCGTCTTCCGGGTCCACGTGTCCCGCCCTTTAGCTCCGTGTGGCCCACTACCCCGTCTCCAGCCCCCTGATGACGCTGGCCGCCCCTTCTCGCTATCGTGACGCTGCTTGCACGCGCGCCCGGCCTTGGCTTTGCCTAAACGCCCGCCATCAGTAAGCCCTGTGTGAAGCGTCCTCCCGAACTCATCACAGGGCTTTGTCCTTCCACTAGAAAACTGAGGGCGTTTGTAGGCTTATATTTAAAGAAGTAATGCTGAACGAGTTTGGGCCAGTGTCTTACTGGAAGGTCGACTCAAGTCGGGCCTTTGTCTCTTTCCTTGCCCATTAATATCTCAGGAGTAGTGCTGCTGCTACTTTCCAGCCAACAGGTTACTACTTCATGGCTTTTTCTTCCACCTTTAAATGGTTTGCAGTTTCATAAGGAGAGCCCAGCGCCCTGTACGGAGCACATGATCAATAGATTAACCAGCAGGAGGTTGTAGCATCATTAGCTGGATTAAGGGCACATAACTGAATTTGTTTTATGTGTACGCGTAGTGTGCATTGAATCTGTAACCCTTTAATGGCTGAAGAACACAAGTGCTTATGAAGAATTCTGCTAACGTTGAACTTGGGGCCAAACCTGTGTATTTTTGGTGCCAGTTTATTTGTTCAGAAGTCAAAGTCAAGACTTAAATACAGTCACACCTATATCTACTACTATATGTTTGAAAATCTGTCATTCTAGCACCTATGTTGATTTTGGAGCATAATGATCTAATAGCATTCAGGGAGAGGGAGACCAAGATATTTTAGGAATATAAATTTTCTTTAGTAAAAATTGTACTAACAGAAGACTATTATTCTACAAAGTAGAACTTCCATGTAGACATGAAATTAAAGGTGACATGACACCATAGAAATTTAACTACTCTTGTTCTTGCAAGATGTTCATTAGGATGTCTTGCAGCTTGTTTTAAGGAATTGTACATATTTAGTTTCCCACCAGCTCTCAAACTGATAACATATAAACATGGCTCTTTCCAATGAGAAACTAAATTGTTATTAAGGGAAAGAGAAAGCAATTCTTGTTTCATTGATGGAAATTGCCAAAAAAAGTTATATTCTTTACATCAGCTATTAAATGAATTAAGTTCAATGATAATTTTAATGACAAAACCAAACCCACAGTGATTGAGTCGATTCTGAATCCTAGAAATTCTACACTGGATTTCTGAGGCTATAAATCTTTATAGCAGATACCCTTTTCTTTCTCCAGAGATACTGCTGGTGGGTTTGAACCTCCAACCTTAGGGTTAGCAGCTGCCTTATTTATCCCCCAACACCTCCAGGAATTTTTATTTATGACTGCCATCACTTTTATGCTGACTCACAGTGACCCCTATAAGATGCTAGAACAACCCCTGAGTGTCTGAGACTATAATTCTATGGGAGTAGAAAGTCCCCGTCTTTCTCCTGCTAAGTGGCTGATGGTTTTGAACTGTAGACCTTGTAGCTAGCAGCCCAGCACATATCCACTACTATACCAGAGCTCCTTATTGATGGCTGGGTTAGTTTATTTGTTTTTATTGTATGCAGATTCAAGTGTTCTGCATAGCTGTTTACCATGTTTATGAAAAGATATATCCTACTTTAATTAAAGGAAGTGGTTTATTGTTTTGAACTTCCCCTAAAGTTCAGTGACTCTGAACCCAGTAGTCTTAAGGCTATTGCAGGGAGTTTAAGAAAGATAAAACAACAAGCATAGCTTAAAACTCCCCACTCAAATGTCATCCAGATCTGCACTTCTTTTTATAGACTTGTAAGATTCTTGTTGCTATCAGGGTTTTCGTTACTAAAACAGTTAAAAGATAAAGTAAAATGTGTTTTATGACAAAACTATAATAAACATAGTTGGGATCTGCTTCCAATAGGTTGCTGATCTCTATCACTCATAATTTTTGTAGAAAAAATATTTTATAATTTACTTCAACATGTAAAACCAATGGTTATTTTAGAGATTGGTTAATTTGAGGAAGTTTTATCCGAATATAGCTTGAAATTCCAAATTGGTCAAAATTAGTACTAGAACAGCCCTTCTGAATAGACTTTAAAAAATGACTATTCTGTTTGTCCCTCCACCTCAATTATTATCTCCACTGACACTGCCATAAATGCTTACTGTGAAAAAACAATATGGAAATTTTGAGATCTCTGTAAAGGAAGTAAAATGCCTTGAGAGAATTATAGTTTCATGAAAGAGGCTGAACCATTAGCACAGTAGTCAGACCTGAGTTTGATTCCAATATTTCAATTTCCTAGGTCTGTACCATTGGGTATGTGAATATGAATTACACTTTCTCATTTGCAAAACAGTGCTTATTCTTATTGAAAAGCTTTCAGTTATGTTAGGCAACATACATAGAGTTCATAGCAGTCAATTTTATTGTTTTGTCAATACTATGCTTAAGAATTAGTTGTGACTCATAATGACCCGCATGACAGAATGGAACTGGCCCTAGAGTTCTAGGCTGAAAATAATTTCTTTCTATTGCATTTTAAACTCCCCCCAAATTTCATGAATTAATATTTTTAGAATTGACTATCAGAAAGTGTCAGGGTTCTGTTAGACTTTAGTTTCAAATAGCATAATTACTGTCTCACACCGAAAGTTTTAATACCAAGACAGCTCTAAAGAATGGGCTTAGCAGTCAGGGTGCGATGTAACAATGATGAGAAATACAACCTTCCTCTAGTTCCTAAAGGTTTCCTCCCCGCCCCCACTACCATGACTCGAATTCTATTTTGCAAGACTGGCTAGACCAGAGGAGGTACACTGGTACAGATAGGAACTGAAAATACAGGGAA